TTTGAAGCATGGGCCCCTCTGACTAGGACTTCTTTCCTCCCTGGAGACCACTGAAACATGCCCTCTCCTAGAACTCTTAGGGTCACCTGGAGCACCTTGGGAGCCAGAGATGCAGCCAAAGAGTGAACAATGGCACCATCCTAGGACCCATGTGTTAGGAAGAAACCAGCCAAGACTCAGATCAGGACTGGGTAGTCCACCCCTCATCTCCCTTCGGAGCATTCTTTCTTTCTTTCTTTTTTTTTTTTTTTGAGACAGAGTCTTGCTCTGTAGCCCAGGCTGGAGTGCGGTGGCGCTATCTCGGCTCACTGCAACCCTCCATCTCTCGGGTCCCAGTTCAAGAAATTCTCCTGCCTCAGCCTCCGGAGTAGCTGGGATTACAGGCACGAACCACCCTGCCCAGCTAATTTTTTTGTATTTTTAGCAGAGACAGGGTTTCACCATGTTGGCCAGGCTGATCTCGAACTCCTGACCTTGTGATCTGCCCGCCTCGGCCTCTCAAAGTGCTGGGATTACAGGCATGAGCCACTGTGCCCAGCCAGAGCATTATTTCCTTGTTTACTAAGAGGAGCAGGAACTGGAAAACCCAGGATAGCCCATCTGAGAAGACTTTCTTGGAGATGAGCTGGAGAAGGGAGGAGTAAGGCTTTGGAAAGAAAATCCAGGACAGGTAGCATGACCGACCTTTCTGATTTTGCATGGGACTGAGGGGTTTCCCAGGACATGAGGCTTTCAGGTTTTTTTTTTTTTTAAATTAAATAGAGGCAGGGTTTCACCATGTTGGCCAGGCTGATCTTGAACGCCTGACCTCAAGTGATCCAAAGTGCTGGGATTACAGGCATGAGACACCGTGCCCGGCCTATGCTTTCAGTTTTAAAATGAGAGAAGTTCTGGGCAAGCAAGGACTGGTGATCACCCCAAATGGATAAAGGGAAAGTGCTGAAGTGAGGCCGGGTGGGAGAGAGGACAGGGAGGCAGTGACACACCTGTAGCCCCCGGTGACTGGGCAGTTCAGGCCTGGATGTGATTCCTGTTTGGGGAATCCAGCACTCTGAGTATGAGGGCCCACCTTGGTCCCACCTAGGCGGTGTGGCTGCAGCATGAGCTGGGGTCAAGGGCAAGGGGAGGAACGGTTTGTGATGCGGGACTGGAGAAGGAGTTGCTGGCTCCGTGCACAGCTGGTCGCTACAGGCCCTATGGGCTGGGGCTGAGCTGTGTCCCGCTGTGGCCCCCTAAACTGGGACCTCGTCTCTAGCTGGCAGTGTGGCCAATAAAAAAAAACGGCATGCCTTAGAGCATCATAGTCAAATTACTAAAAGCTGAAGACAAGGAGAAAATATATTCTTTTTCTATGAATCCCATCCTAAAGAACAATATTTTCAATGTCACTGTTTTCTCATCAAAAACTATATAGACCAGAGACGAATAGCTTTAAAATGCTGAAGGAAAAAAATGTCAACTCAGACTTGTTTTTCTAGTAAAACTATTCTTCCAGAATGAAGATGAAATAAAGCTATTTTCAGATAAAAGAAAACAGTGATTTTTTGTTGCCAGTAGACCTCCCCTATGAGAAGCACTGAAGAAAGCTCTTTAGGACGGGCACGATGGCTCACACTTATAATCCCAGCACTTTGGGAGGCCAAGGTAGGAGGATTGCTTGAACCCGGAAGATGGAGGCTGCAGTGAGCCATGATGGTGCCACTGCACTCCAGCTTGGGTGACAGAGTGAGACCCTGTCTCAAAAA